CGTTATTTTTGCCTTCTTGTTACCAACATTAAACGCTTTACGAAGACGTTGCACTGTCATAAAGTAACTTCTGAGAAAATAGACAAATTAAGTCATTTCATTACACTTAGTAGCGTCTTTATTTCTGTGCTGTTACTTGTAATTTCTTTCTCTTAACTGCTGTCTTCATTCTTTTTTAACACAATTTTCATTTCTGGTCAATAGTCATGCTTAACCATTTAAAGTCCTAATTTTTTTACGTTGTAAATGAGCGCGGCTGCTCCATTGAAAGACTCACGTACTGTCTATAAAGTCTTTCATTTTGAGTTCTTGAGGATGCTTATTATCTGCCTTTCCGTCATTGTGCTCTTTTTACGCTTGTACGTGCCGTTCTCGATTCTGAGTGCTTAGAAGTGTCTGCATACAGTTTTCGATCTGTTGTGCATCTTACGGGGCAGGCAACTAGGAAACTGAGACGGAATGGCCAAATAGAAACTGTTCGGTTTAAGCTAGTGCAGCGCTGCAAAGTAAAAGAGAGTGTAAATACCATGCTTTCTGTTTTCTGTTTTCTGTATTCTGTGTTCTGTCTAAAATATCTACCGTCATGTAAACAAACATTAAATTGGACATGCCATCAGGCTTCATTGTCAAATACTCAACATCACCACAGCGACAGATACGAAATTATTCTTTTTAATTTTCATCATGCACAAAGCTGCTTGATAGTGTATCTTGCAATTTGTTACGCTACAGGGTTTCACTTTGTGAATTTTAGAAATTGCTTACGAAATTGCAGTATTTGTTTTGGGCAAAACGTGCCAAAATTAGTTTTGCTTTAATGTTGATTGCTTCATTTTTTGCCCATTTCTAAAATTTTTATTGAATTAGTGGAGGAATTGCATTAGCAAAATTGGAGTTATACAATGTAATTGGAAGGAAGTGATAGCTTAAATAACAAGATATTTATATTCTTCAGATATCTTCAACTGCTTGCTATAGAGTTTGATTGATTCTGAATAAGCTAACATATTATATTTTGAATATTCATTTAAGTCTAAACTATAATTTTTACCACGGCCTCTGAATACTTTTATTGCGAAAAGATGATTTTATTTAAATATTATGAAAAATTTTACATGCTATAATTTTTTCTAAGACCTTTATGTATATGTCATTCAAGATCAAGTAAGCAAAATTGAAGTTTCAATCGTCAATAATGGCAGCACGTCAGTCATAGTACCACTAATCTGAAAATAAAGGGTTCTTAGAAATAAAGAGCCTTCGTATTGGAATTTAAAATTGCACCTTATTTTTTGACTACAGTTGAATTCAATAATAAGAGTTGTTAGAGTGGTTTCTATACTTTTCTACATAAATATATTAAAATAATATTCATATTCATTAACTTCATTTTGAGCATTATAATTTTTCAACTATGTTATCCCGAAACCGAGTTCTACACGTAATCCGACCTTCGTTAGTTGTCCCATTTAATTTTGATAGTATTTACTGTCGTAGTTGACAACTAAAAGTTATCTGTAAAATATTTAGTTTTATCATTGGATTTAATTACAAATCATTTATTGAATACTCCACAAATAGTATTTAGTATTGTCGTACTTTTTAAATTAAGAATAAAGTTCTTATGCAGTTCTACTGTAACCTGTTGTAGAACTGTAGAAAAACAGTCGATTTTTTTCCCATTGTCATATCTCTAATATATTTATAATAATATGGGTTCAGCTAGTATGGGTTAGGTTATACGATTATTCGTTTGTTTTCCGTATATCTGCAGTTTCCGCAGATTAAGTCTATTGCTTTCACATTTGTTATGAAGTTATTAACATAATCCCTAAAGTTAAGAAAGAGTTGATGAAATTTATTTTGAGTGCAAGAGAATTTTTGTATTACTTATGGATATAAAATAGAATAAACTGGTATGAAGACATATGCGGAACACTCAGTGATGAACTCAGCTAAAGATTAAATTACAACTAAGAATGAATTAGTAGTTGGCTATAAATGTTTAATATCAGTCGTCATATCCGAAGTAGAAAATCTTCTTAATTGACATAAATGGTTGATATCTGATAACAGTCGTATGCAAGTGATTTCGGGTTTGAATCAAAAATACGTTGTTTATGTGCTGCTGCTCTGTGGTATGTCCCAAATAGTACTCTACAGGTGCAACTGTCTGGATATTTTTTGCACATGTAAAGTACATATATCGAGTTCAAAGTCAAGACTAAATCTTTGATCGAAATTCATTCTGCAGGTTTTTCCCAAAAGCTTTAAGAACCAATAGTATAGTATAATACTTTTATAACGTGGTTTGCGTGCTTAAAACAGTATTCTTACTTTAGCGGAACTGTAAACGCAGGAAACTAGAAACTTCTTCCGGGAAAATAAAAATAATTGTCTAACTAAAATTTTTCAAATTTTGTGTTGTCAATATATTCGAATTGAAATCAAGCTTGCTGTGATGAATGAGAATGTCGACGGCTACACTTTGAATGAAGAAGATGCTCTCTTTTGTAGTAGAACTTTAAGAATTAATTAAATGCTCATTAAATTTTAACCAATAAAAGAATTTGTTGGAAAAATAAACCAAACACAACAAACGCTGCGAGCGAGGGAATGCGAACTGTCAACTTTAAATATTTAACGTTCTCATTATTAACAACTTCCTAAGCAAATATAAACAAGAAGTATGAGTGGTAGCTGCTACTTCAATGCCTTAAATCAACTCCAGTCTGAAGTGTATACAACAGCCAGAGCTGTCAGCACAGCCCCATACAAATATGGCTCATGCATGGTTATAAGTTTCCGTATCTATACTCATCAGCAAATCTACTTCAGCGCTGACATGCCGCGTAAAAATTAACAACAGCAAAGAAGAAAAAATAAAAAAGGAAAAATTTCTACTTTGATCATTCGCATTTTATTTATTTATATTATTTTTATTTTTTATTACTTTTTTTTAATAATGGTTCCAATTTTGTTGTTTCTGTTTTCGTACTTGTCCCTGAGGGTGTTATTAGTCACATGGCGGTTTTGCCAAAAAGGCAGCCACCGACACCAACCGCGCACGTCCTTACATTATGCAACATTGTTAAAATCCGTAAACACTCATGCGAATAAAAATGTTCGCTGGGGTGACCAACGGAATAAAATTTAATAAAAATAAATTAAAAGCTGAAATTATAAATATTTTCGTATAAATACACCCAAAAGGATATTTTCGTACACATGTGCCAAAAAGATGTGCCTCCAGTTGTGTTGTGTTCGAGCCGCCATAGAAACTCTGGAATTAAGCTAGAGAACAAGGACGATTTTAACAGTTTTTGTAAAGCTCCGACTTTTCTGTTGCAATGCATTTGTAATTTGTTCCTTGCAAATATCTTCGCTTCCGTCTGCCAAAAATGTTTATCTTGTATGTCTGCTAAAGTTACTTTTGCATGTCTGTCTCCCAACAAAGTTAACAGTGTCTTCACGGTGTGAGTAGAAAGTTTTTCCCCTTTTTATTGCCAAATTTTTTCATAGCCTCAGGACAGTATAAATCTTCTGAAGCATATTTTAATTTAAAAAGGCTTATTATCACATTTGTGTATGTGGGAGAACCGCTTACCAAACTCTTCAGTGTTATTGTGTTTAGATACCTTGTACTCTTATGTATGTATTTTATGTTTGTTATGCATGGAAGAAAGTGATAATTATTTACACAAAGAGTCATACTTAGGGAAGCAGGGGTTCAGACAAAATATCTAAATGCATGTGACTAATATTCAGTGAAGTCAAAAAACTAGAACTGTTTCTGTTCTTAATAAAAATTGAAAGGTGACTTGAAATTGATCTAATATAATAAACCCGAGTACAAGCTTTATAAGCTATATATTTAAAATATTATTTTATATTAAATTAATAATATAAAGATATAATATAAAGAATAAAAGAAAGAAAATAATCAGTTATACTCATAACTTACTAATCTTATATTTAGAATATTGAAATTAACTTGACAAATATGCAGCAATATTTTTCGTGCAAAATCCATACAAAAACTATACAAAACTTTTATAAAAATTTTTTGTAGAGCTTCTAAAGACAAATCTAAGTCTAAACATTGTAAAGTAATTATTTTAATTACTTATTCATATTTTTGTGCCAATAAAATATAATTTATAATATAATTGAAAATAAATCAGTTAAGAAGTCAACCTCATCACTTCGACTATGCATGCATTCTCCACTTGATTGTTTGCAAATATATATGCTAAATGCTAAATGAAACTAAAAACAGAGACAGTACCAGTAACGAGAGAAAACAGTTTAAAAAGTACCACATAACAGCACTAAATAAATGGGAAGAAATAAAATAAGAAAGCACTAAAAAACGAAAGAAAAGATAATAATCCACAATAAATTTCTTTTCGGAAAAAACTTGTTTGAATAACAATATAGTCTTCGAAGAAGATTTTAAGAAGATAGATAGAAAATGGAATAAGATATTTTAAAATTATATATTTTGACAATGAAAAAAGTACGTAATATTAGTACGTGTTATTTAATTCGATTGAGATCCATAAAAAAATTATTTAATTTTTTGATTCTTATTGGTCGGGTCAAGAAAGTATTATTTTATATTGTTAAGTATTATTTTTTAATAAGTTTCTTTTGTATTGAAGTGACACAAAAGTGAATTTTATTATATTGTAAATTATTTCTTATCTCTCCTTATGTAGTTATTGGAATTTATAGTTTCTACCAATTTTTATTCAATAGTTAAAGATTTTTAGTTGAAGTACACTTTGGACGATATCAAAATAAAGGATTGTTTTCCTGAAAGGATATTTAAAAAAAATCTTTTGATCATTCAGCATATAATAAGGTTAGCAGTATTAGCTCCTGTGTGATTTCAACTTTTGTTTACTGTTTCAAAGTCTATACTTCAATTTTACTGATATATGGTTATAATACACAAATTACTATTATAATTAATAATAATATAAAAATCTCTAATAATGTTCACATTCCGCATTTACTTACAAAGCAATGAAAGCACTTCAAAACCTGCCAATATATTAGATACTTCATTTAAGTAAGTCTTCTTGGCTACAAAGTCAAACAAACTTGCACGAAAAATCATAGGACTTTCCTAAATCGCATGCAAAGTATATGAAATATTTTCCACGCAACAAAGTCCTGTAAGTTCGCTTCATATTAAGGATGTGTTCTCTGTGTGCATTTGTGAATACATACGCTAAGTACACTTAATATAATTTAATATTTATGCACGAGCAAATAAGTTTGAGCACATTTTTCCACTTAAGTCCAACATTTTTTTGATGAGGGTGCACATATCAGACAATTTCCATGAATCGTAAACTCGAACAGTGCGGGGGATACACAGTAAACACACTCCCCAAAATAGGTTTGGATATTTATGAAGACTGACTACTCCACATGTTTGAATTATCTAGTAGACTCTCGTTTTAAATTTTGTTATTGTTGTGTATGTTTGTGTACTTGTCTGTTTGCGTTGCATATATAATATTTGCATTTCATAATTCGTTTATCTCAATGATGTTTTCATGAATAACGACCATGTAATGGTAGTGTATACTTTGTAGCAACAAAATTATTGGATCCCATATTTTGGGCTTGTATTTATACCTTATTATTTTGGGAAATGTACAGTAAAAAAGTTTGCAAAATTTTTATGAGTGGATTTACCTGAACTAGGTCTTTTCTCTGTTTAGCTGGAGATATCCGTAGTTGATTTAAGTCAATCAATTTTATTATATATAAGTAAATCCTTCAACATAATAAATTTAATTAATTGTTTAAAATGGGTTTAAGTACTTTTAAACCCAGTTTAAATCAAACTTTAATTAAATAATGGTTTTTAATAAATAAACTTGAACTAAAATCAATACATTTCAATCAACCTGTCAATCCAACTTTTTGCCATAGTGCCTGCACACCGGTTCTGAACAGCATCAGAAGCTCCTAATTTTTTTTTTATAATTCAAACGAGTTATGAAAAATCTATCTGCGACTTGTGTGTTGCTAAGGATAGATATTTCGAATTTCGGCTTGTGACAAACCTAATAATGTTTCATCAATGAAAGTCATCAAACACCAAACAAAGAACATTGGAATATAAGATGGGTGTCAGTTTTAATTCGCATATCACAGAATCGCCAGGTGGTAATGTCTTTTAGTTCTACCTTTAAAAGATGTTAGTAAGCAGGAGCATGTTCAGTTTACGAAGCCAGTGATAAATCCGAATTCAGGGCTATTTCAATAAGTAGTAGCTAACTTGGAGATAAGATTCATTGCACCTTTCAAACAATTTTGATTTGGTGATAATATTATATATTATATACTTTTAAGCATTCTATGGTACAGATATCAATAGCATGCACTTCCGCCTGAACATATGTATGAGAAACCCCATTGAACTGGCTGTATAAGAACTGGATCCATAGACTCCAGTACCGCCTTGTTTGTCCAGTTTCAAGCTTTGAACTATCAGTTAACTAAAGGCACGTGTTTGGAGGCTGTCTAAAGCTCAGTCCCTATATTCGACTCTTTCAGAAAAACCGTTTTGAAGTTACAAAGAGATAAGCTGCTTTCATGTAGGATATCTAATAATTTAAAACCATTTCTACCGTTAAGTTCTTTAGTAAAAGTGGTTGACATGTTAATGTTAATCGACTCTCAAGTAACAACTGATATTGCAATAATTGATGATGTCATATTATATCATTTTGTATTATAAGCGAAAAGTGACGTTTTGTACTGAGAGGTTCATTCTTGGGAACAATATATGTTGGATTTTTGTACACCAAACAAGGAACAATCTTAAATTAAAACTTAAAATTCTTCGGTTTTCAGTTTTCAATTTTCAATAAATCATTTCAATCTTGAAAATCGAATGCAAATTGATATATAAAGCTATTTTTAAAACATTTTTATATCATTTATTAATAAACATTTAAAATTCTCACTAATAACATATTAAAATGTGATCCATTGAGAAGTTAATTTAGGTACTTTATTAAAAATAAAATAAAATTATGTTTTTTTGAATCGAAAAGCTTCGAAAAACTCTAATGTATTTATTAATGGAAATTCTGTTCTTTACTTATTTTGCATATTCCTGTCATTCAATTAAGAATTAGTTCCCTCTTTCACATATTGAATAACAAAATAAAATTTTGACCCAGTTCTGTACTCTGGCCTTCGGCTATATTGGTTTATATTTTTAATATAAATTGTTGAAAAAAATACTCATGTGAGTAAAAATGGAGTCAATTCATCATTGTATGTATTATGTATAGCAGAGTTGCAGATTTAAATAAAAAATGTATGCCAAAGTTGCCATATTGAATTAACATAAATCTCGCAAAATACGAAAAATATTAAAATAATAGGACAAAAGGCCAAAGGAAAGTGGCAAATCATAATTGATGTGCTGAACTCGAAGCTGAGCTTTATGTCAAATATTATTTAATATTTATTTAGTAAAGAATTAAATTTATTAATATTTTGAATAACAAATGACAATGCACGAGTACGAATAACAGTGCCGCTGGCGAAATATCGGAATACCTTACCGTGCCTACAGTAAATAAGCAAATTTAAACAATGTAACGCAAATGCTGATAAGCAGCATATAGAAATCAATAATACGGACATGGAAACAATGGGTGTATTGTGTGTCTGTGTTGCCACACACAAATATTAAATGACATATTCCGCATCGTAACACCCTGGCGACCGAATGTACATACCTCATCAGTGGCACAGAAACTAAAACCAAATATGCGCATAAAATTGATTATCCTACAGCAGCGTGTGTCGTATACCGGAGTCCTTGCAGCAAATCCAATTTCAATGCAAGTCTGTATCGCATAAGTGAGCAGATATGTTTAATGCACGCCACCAGGAGTTAATCAACATGATATTGTGTGCATTGCACTGCACTTCTCTGCACAGTATTGCACTGCACTTCACTGCATTGTGCTGCATTACACTCAGCGTTCTGCCATAATATTTACTTAATAAAACTGAACAAAATTGAAATAATTTTTTGCTGATTATTCTATGTGAATTTGTGATTTTAGGATTTAAGTTGAATTGATACTTATGACACACGTACTCCATCGACAGCCTCTTCCAGCACATCGCTGCCAAATCTAAATCCATATCCACATCGGTATCCAAAATGCCAAATGTACCAGCGCACGTAATTAGGTCATGTGCAGTGTGTTTCTATCTTGGGTAGCATCGACCGAAATCGATAAAACAAAAAATTTTGTCACATATTTTTCCATTTTCCTCAATATTTTTCTATTCGGTTTGATGCGAGATTTGTGGTTTTCGATATGCTTCGGATCAGCTTCGATTTTATGGAAGCACTCTAATTTAAAAGTGGTAAAAAACAAACAAAACAAAATTAAGTTTTGAGTGTTCGTAGGTGTCCATGTATCAAAATGACAAACTTTTGCCAGTATTTTCTACTCCCCTATGCCCCCGTTCTAATCACTCAAGAATAATTTGAAAGCAAATTAACACTCTGCATCTGTGACGAGTATTTGTCGAATAGCTCAGTTTTAATTTCAATTGTAAATATGTAAATAATTCTTAGAACGTCAAAATTGCAGTCCTGTGCATATATTTAACTGTCATTGAATAATCCATCAAAAAGATCATTCACGAAAAAGAAAGACAATTGCTTTATCATTCAAATTTTACAAATTATAATTCATTAAAATAACATATTTTACCGATGATTCTTTCAAATACTCCATAGAAGTTTTATAAAATATATAATAAACAGTAACTTAAGTTACCGAATATAGAAATTCAAAACCGAACTAAAGCTACTACAAACAAAATAATTCAAGTCCATCACAATATGCAAGTTATATCCATAAGATACATAATAAAAGCAAATAGGTTTCGCCATTTTCTGGGTTCCTAGTTTTTTCGTCTATTATGGCCGTAAAATAAAATTATACTTCACTACTCATCTGCATGTGTAATATTTTGTTACGGTGACGTTCAGAATGGTGTACGTTGAAGCATTACGTACCCAATATAGGTTCTCGATTTTCTAACCAATAGTCTTACTGATAATAACAAAGCGGGAATTAGGAATCAGAAATATGGGAGTTTTTTTTAGAATTATGTGAGATAAACGAATAATACATACAAACCTACACATGGCAAAATAAAATCTTTCGAAAACTTATGAACACCTCCAGTTTATTGCATACCTAGAAAAATAAATCATAATTTAATGTAACGGTTTTAAGGGTTTTCGTATTTGTCTATGGCATCAGTTTATAGATGTCTTAACATTTTTAAATTTAACACTTGACAGTCAGGTCACAGAAACTATAATTTTAATTGTAGGCAATCACAAATGATAAAGACGTTTTATTAGATTGGCAATATACTTAAAAAATACTACAATAATAACGGTTTTAATGGGTATATAAGGTCGCATTAAAGCTGTATGTACCACCTTATTAAGTAAATAATTTCTTTTGGTAATGATCTTAAACTAACTTGGCATACAGTACCACTTGCAAAAGCTTAAAATCGTAATACCTTATTTTTAAGCTTTAGATATCGATTGCTAGTACTTATAGAAACTTTAATAACAAACAAAAAACGCACCATGCACCCTACACCCTTTTCCACACAGTTTAATTACATGCTCTAAATAACGAACTTTATCAGTTGTGAAGAACACGTGAAGCAGCGTTCGACTAAATTTATAACATTATTTTCGTTATTTTAATTAATAAAAATTCATATCTGCCAAGTTTCCTGGCAGAATCTAAGCGAATCCTTAATTATATCAGACAATTAATAAATTCTTGAAACCATGGAGCAGGCCAAAAAGTTTATCGCTACAACGAATGTGGCCTTTCTGCAGTGTTTACGCCACTATGCTAATGTTGCGGCTCCTTTCCAGCGAAACAGACTCATTTATTAACCCACAAACACTAACATAAATACTCATACAGGATTGTAAGCAGAGCCACACGCATATATATCAACGACTTTTGTGTATTAAAGTTGCGTTTGTGCCTAAATGTATGCTAAGCTCAGTGAGAAGCATATTTCCATACCGTGTTCGTACACAAAAGCAGACATATTAACAATTAAGTGGTTGCACATGTGTGTGCATACACTTACATTAAGACTTAATATGTAGTTTTGGTTTAGACTTCAAAGGCACATGCTGTGCTCTGTGATTTATTAGCAGCAAAAATAGATTTAAGCAATTTAAATTAAGTTGTTCAACCATAAACAGCCTCGGCAGCATTTTGATATATGCTACTCTACTCTACTCTTCTCTACTCTATTCTACTAAAGCGGAGGGTTAGAAGCGTTTGGAAATGGACACTTTGAGTTTTTTTTTAGTTTATGAAACGCGGAAATATTAAACCACACAGAGAAGCTATAAATGTTTCCGAGTTCAAAATCCTTTAGCAAAATCAAAATCATTCCACATTTAGCATTTTCAGATGGAAGTTATAAAATTAATTCTACTCACAACTTTGTTAGTTAGTTTTTTACTTTGCTCGATTAAAAGATAGAAAGTATAAAAATGCATGTACTTTTCGAAATTTAGTATGGAAATGAGTTTAATTTTGATGTGCATGCGGTGAAAAGTTTTTCACATTTTAATGTGAAGCAAACAGTGAGCCTCGACAGCACATTAAGGCATTTATTTAAATGTGAAATAAAAAATATTAACTCGATAATAAATACTTTATTTGCTCTCGCTGTTCAAAATATTAAAATAATACTCTATTTTATCTTATATTTTATGCGCCCAAAAATATGCCAAACATATTTCATAGTAGTAATCTGCAATCTAAAAACAAAAGCAAAAGCAAAAGCAAAACCAAAACAGTACAAGTACTTGTAAATATGTTTGAATTTATGTGTAGCGCACTATCGGAAAGGTGAAGTTGTTGTGCTTTCGAAGGGAAAAAGTACGTTGCATTATGGCAGCAATAAATTTCCGCTTTGGCTAAGAGCAGCAACACGCGCGCTCGGCGGTCGCATTTACACGCGCCGTAATGCAAATGCAGAATAAAAGTATTTTATATATGAAAAAAATTATTGAATTGTTATCGAGTGCCTGTAGGCGCATATCCGTTCAATGTTGCCGATAATAATGCATAGGGCGCACGGCGCACCGCACAGAGCGCTACATTAAAAAAGAAACAATAAAAATGGCGCCATTGATTTATGTTTTTTAATTTAAAATTTCCGCTTTACTTAACTTTTACCAAAATGGCTGCTGTTCTTGTATAATGGCAGCCGCAAAAGGGCAAACAAAAACCCAAAACAAACACATTGTACTCGTAAATATGCATAATTCAACAATGGACGACGCGACTTTTACAAACACCATCACCATCACCATCACCATCCCAATCACAATCACTATAACGACAAAAGCGACCTTATAAATATTAATTTTTTTTGTTTTGCTTTTCTCTTTTCATGTTTGTTACGTAGATTGGGTCCTATGCAAGGCACTGGTCACCAACAACAGATGGCGCAAAGTATGTCAACGGGTAATAATACGCTTGGTGGCCACGGTGGCATTGATCGTGGCGGTGGCAGTGGCGGTGGACCTGGTGGTCCTGGCATGAATGGTCCGGGTGGACCACACTGTCAAATGAGCGGCTCACAACCATTGGTCATGCCGGGATTTCCATTGCGTAATTCACACTCAGCGCACACACCGCACTACTCACCATATTCACCATCCAGGTAAGTCCATGGTTTCCACATTAAATTTGTGTAAACACAAAAACTGCACGTAATTTAATTAAAGTTGAAAAAACAGCGGTTTGCAGTTTTTCATTTATCTGAGTGTTTAATTAATATAAAAATTAAAATTAATAACTTATTTGTGTATTAAGTGCTGCGTATCACTCACTTCTGTTAACAGTTCTATTTTGAGAGTGAATTGAAAAATTAATCACAAATACATATTAAATAAAAAGTTATTACAGAAAATGTAAAAATGAAAACATTTGATTTAACCATAAATTACAGTAAAATAAATGCAGTCGTCGAAACCCACGTCCTTTCACTCGCTGCTATTGAGGAGGCAGGAGGCTGCCTGCGAATTGCGAATCTTCATTAGTTTCATTTGCACGTTCAAGATTTGCATTTCGTGCGAACAAAGCTTTTTATATGCTTTCTTCGCTTTGTTCCGCTTCTTCTTATTTTCCAACTAAATTTACACCTTACTTTTGCATCTGCATCTGCATTTGCATCTGCATTTGTATCTACTATCGTGAGATATTTTGTAACAAATGCAGATACATGGCAGCATCTTCCTGTACCACACAAACACACATTCACACACACACACACTCACTCACGCGAATACAACACTATTTCCATATGTGAGCACATATATACTTCGATTTGTTACTGTCATGACGCTCGTTCAGTCTAACCACTGCAGAGTTGCATTTGTTGCGCGTTCCCATTTTTATGTGTTTTTATGATGATTATGCTTAGCCAAATAGATTGGATTACTAACGACATGGCTTTGAAGACAATTATTATTGTTTCTGTTGTTGCGGCAGCTACATTTTCAGCAACTTAACTCCCGCGGTGCTGCATACTCTGCCAAAAATAAAAACAATAGATGCAATGGTTAAAAAAACTTTTACACGAATACGCGTTCAAGTTTCAGGTGTGGGTGTTTGCGACTAAGAGAAGGAATTGGTTGCATGTACAGAACATGAAGCCATTTCTGTTGGTGACTAGCATAAACCTTAACTCTTCTCGAATGTGCCGGGTTATGCAAAGGTTTGCTACTGTTCGTTACCTTAATAAGCATCCTCTAGAGAAATCGTTGTAGGTGTTGGCATGTGGCACTGCTGCCATGGCTGCAGAAAATATGACATGTCATGTCATTTGATATTGTTTCTTGTTCAAATAAAAACGATTCGCATTAAGATTAGCACACACACACCAGTTCCGTGTAACAGCACGTAATTTTATTAATTTTATTTAAATTTTAGTTGGGTCTCAGTTAAACGTTGCACCTCATGTAGCTTATGAGTTATTTTTCTCATAATTTGTTACTTCAGAGTCAGATTTTAACAACACAAAATTATTAGTAGTATTTTAAATATTTCCTAAGCTATCATTTAAGATATAAGGACGAACTATATATATCTATATATTACTATTTATCCATTTGAATTATAGTACTAAAGGGAAATATAGCGCCCTGTGATTTTACTGTTCCTACTGTAGAAAATATAGATATGGGTTATGGAAAATTTTCTGTCAATTTTTTGTCAGTTGTTCTTATAACTGACAGTGTTTATAAGAGTTGACGATGCCTTAAATATATTATAGTTACAAAGATTTTATCCAAATATGGAAACTGTTACTTAAGAATAATTAATATTTGCCAAATTTATAGTTTATGTTGGAGCATGAATTACGTTTTCTCGCTCAAGATCGTGAGCGTTAATATTTGCTTTAATATTTGGTTTATTCAAACTGTAATGAACTCATAAGTAGGAAATGTGTTCAAAATTTAGCAAGAATTTTTAATTTTCTCAATAAATATTTATTCAGTTATCTCCAAAGTAGTGCACTTATGTCTCCATAGTTTTTAGTTTTCAAAGCACTGTTAAAATGCTATAATTTTTTCAGTATAATCTCTGGCTGAAACTTTCATGAAATAATATAGGAAAGTATAAAGGCTGTTAATACTTTCCTCTAATTAACTACTGGGAATGCTGTGACGAATGAATATCTAAGTCGTGTCAAAATTTTATTTGATCATAACACATTTGAACTAACTATAGGTATAGTCATAGAGGTGCACCAATCCGCAACGATGATATTTTAACTGTTCATTATTTGGGTATAAAATTTTATAATCAAAGATTAGAAGTAATGTACAATTTTATACTTAAGACTTTAACACTTCTTAATAACAATTATTTTTAAACTCCTTTTGCGGATTTTAAGAATTTGTCTAAAAATGTCCGGTTCTATTTGTTGCGTGCATTTAAGACTTTTTCAGTTTTATATCACCGATTCAGCTATACTTTTGTTAAACAATTCCTCCAGTTTTGGTAACGGGTGTCCAGCTCCACGTTGTTTGACATCTACTACGATTTCTTGCCCCCTTATCACTTCAGCGCCACATTAAAAATATAAACATAGGTAGGGCAGAAACCCCTAAAATGATTTTTGTCAAGGCTATGGCTCTAAAGATGATAAGGAGAGTGTGCTCCATCTCATTTATCAGTGGCCTTCTTTAGCTAGGAGAAGATCAAACAACTTCGGGGCTCCTTTTCTTATCGACCAGATCGAGCTGTCATCCTGTTATATTAGGGACTTAGTCAAGTCTATAGAACTTTTCCTTTACTCCTTTACTCAATGGGGAAGTCGCTACCTTTTTCGGCGTTATTTGTATACTAATCTCAATCTTAGTACGTACCATTGCTATTCCTGTGGTATCACAATGGGACATTCTTTGAGCACAAGTGGACTTTTTTGCAAACAAGGCCGCCACTCCAACCTAAAAATATCTTACTAAATAACTTTTGACTTATTATGTTATTTTCTGATAGTAAAAATATTTTATATATGTAGTTTTATTAAACTATCATCTCAGGTATAAACTGCAGTTTGTATACATATATTACATTACATATACATACATTGTGTGCCATATACATTCATATAGTGTTATATCACTTAAAGTTATACGACATTATGTATATAGAAATGCAGTTAAGTTTTGTCATTAATTAAGTCCGACATTAATTATCTTCATAATTAACAAATATTAAATATAATATTCTGTCATAATTTAACTTGTCAATTTTAAAAACTGACAAGTTCAGTTAAATATCCACTGAAATAAAATTGACATTCGCAAATGTCCGTCTCGCTGTCACTCCTTCCGTCTATTGCTGGTTAACGGCACAAGTTTATGTACGTTTAGACATAAAATGCAGATGAAAATTTCTGCCGTGGTTAAGTGTTGTGTCAAATGGTCCGACTGACTATCTGCGCTGTTGTTGTCGCTTCGTCTGTCCACGGCTGCGTTGGGCTTATTGTCTGTTTGCATGTCTGCTTGTATTTGCACGACTGGTGTGGGCGCATTCAACATCGTTTCCAAGAACATAGCTTGTCATATTACCACTTTTTCGAGCGCTTAACTGAGTTCGCCTAGGTTTTCACTGTCAACACAAAAGTATGCGTAGCATTTCTTCTTCTTCTCCAACGACAACGACAACAGCGGCAGCAGCAGCAGCAGCAGCATCATTTCCCAGTTAGTTTAGTCTTGCCAACAGCAAACGTTGGTAAGTTGATTTGAATTTGTGCAATTGCAGTGAACATCACCAGAAGAACTGGTGGAATGGTGAGATGGTGAGATGGTGTGATGGTGCCATGGTGCCGTGGTGCGATGGTTGTTTGGCTCTTGGCTGCACTGCTGTTCGGTTTGGTGAAACAGTGCACATCCTTATTGCACATGTTTTGCATTTAAATGCGGCGTTAATCACTAAAAACTTCTGTGCGCGCTTGTCACTGTTTTGTGTTGTGGCATTAATTTACGTTGCATTTGAATTTCTTTATTATTTGGAAATGTTCGTCGGTTTGGACTTTTGTGCGTTCCACGCACGCTTGTTTACTGACGTTCTCTACTTTATTTATTATTGACACAACGGGAAATTGGTCATTAGCTGGTTTGAGATTTGCACAGACAGCGACACTGTAAACCTTTTAAATGGACTGGGCTGGGCAGGGCTGGGCTGTCTATACTGTGGCTGGCAATAAAACTTTGCCATTCAATTTATAGTATTTTAGGAAAAAAACTGTTACAACTCTTGAATTTAATTCTAAAATGTGTCTGTAAGGTGTGATAATGCAAATTTTATTGTTCTTCTTGGAGCTAACATTGTCCAGGGGAACATACTTTGTGCTTCTAATGAAGTCATTAAAATTGTGTCTACTTTTGAATTGTTTTACATTGATGCACCCGGAAAATTGGTATATGCAATGCAAAAAGTAAAGGAGTAGAGAAAGGAATAATTATGGCTTGTTCGTTTACAAGCAATATAATTGAAGAACATTTCAAATTATAGATTGTTTTGCCGTTGAAGAATTGTAATTATTGCCATTTTAAATTTATGGAGACAGCTTTCTCTATCCAACACAGTCTACAGTTACATATAAAAAACTTTATTCGCTGTATGTCTCTTTTATTTAGTGTAGAATTCTGTTATAACTAATTTAATACCTAAGATCAATCTAGCAAAATTAATAATGAGTAATAAAACAATGTCAATGTTAAATTTTTTTATTCTTCGTGCTGGTTTCATTATGTTTTCTTTCTCTGAATGTAGATTGTATTTTATACTCTGAACTGGAATTTAGTGTTAGGTGTTATACCTAAATGAAATTCTTAGTTAGTAACTACATAATGGAAGATCACTGTACATTCCACTATGTGCCGCAATAACTTTAACTTTAGATACAAACCTTAAAGGAAAAAAGAAACCTTAAAGAAAAATATAGAAAATTAAAATAAATATTAGGAAATAAAGAAATAAAGGAAATTTGCTATTAGTTAATTTATAGGTAACATATGTTCAGTTCCCAACTAATCTAATTCAGTATTACATATTCGTTCTAGGCGTAGAAGTTTTGATTGAGCTGATTTTCTTTATCTGAAAGAAATACTGCATAATCTTTCTATCATGTATTTTGTTACAGATTATACTCTTCAACTTCAACTGTGTATTAAGTCTTCGGTAAGATTTTAACTTTGAATAGATTGAAGGGATTATTGTCATCTAGTTAGCATATTTTTCCATACAAGTTATACTCTTGAACTAGGTATTAATACTTTGGAAAGACCTAATATTGATTATTAGGTCATTATATTGTTATGTTATAATTTCTCATAATATTTGAATGTGATTAACAGCCATACAACAGCTGATTTCAACAAACACGTTTAATCTATTTAAAACTAAAAGTTTTTATAGAGTTTTCACATTAAGCATGTTTACCCAAGGTCTATTCCAAACAATCTTGGCTTGTTTTATTTATGTAAATTTATATCTTGGCTTCAAAAAGTGCAAGCAATTTGGTTTTGCTGATTTTTTTTAACGCCTTTCACATGGATAATGAATTCTTTAGTGATATAAATGATTGATTAATCCAAGAATATTGTTAATGTGTCGAAAAGATTTTTTCAGGGAGTTGTATTTAACATTGCAAGTATGCTTTATTTATAAAGCATTATAAAATAATAGTTCTCAGCTCTCCATTTACATTTGATAACGAAACACCGAATAATTCCGTATAAGTTTGTTTGATTGTTTCCTGCTCGTGTTTACTTTTTTGATATTCTTTTATCACCTTAACCCATCTCTTTTTCAATAGAATTGATAATTCTCAGTTTTAAACAAATATGTACACTATTTTTACCTTATATCGTAGCAGTAATATTTTTAGGGATTTAATTAAATTTACACAATCACTCCTGCTTATCTCTAACACGGTGCTAAGCAAGCCAAGTTCTCGCAGCACTGAAAGTAAAACTCATGTTACAGCAGCTGTCAAACGAGGCAACAAGAGTTCGGGCTGAGTAAATACAAGAGTGTCCCTGGCCAATTCAAGTATATTCAATTTTCATCTTCTGTGTGCTATTTTTAATCACAGATTAGATAGGAGGACATACTCGTTCATGGTAGTACATAGTGCAGTTGCTTAATTTTAATTTTCTCAAATTTTTTATCTAACTATAAAATACCTATACACAACTAATATATATTTGCACATTTTGTTTGTATTTTCAGGTTTCACATAGATAAGCGCTGTCAACACAAATGTTCCTGGAAATGTTTAAGTATTGCCTTAATACTACTAGCAGTCGTCCTAACAGCCATGTTGACCTATTTTGCAGGTAAGTTTACCGTTTCCCTCTCAATACCGCCACTGCACAAGGTACACAAGGTACACGACAGCAACTTGAGTTCAACATAGAACAAAAAAAGGTTGAACTAACGACCTACTACGGCCCACACCTGTGAAGTGAAGAAGCAGAGTGCCACTCTCGTTAGTGTTAGCCCTTGAGTATGTGTCAAGTGTGTTTGGATACTGCAAACACTGCGCTATCTGCTATAATTTTGGCTTCGTTTTTAATTATAAAAGTAAAAAGGGATTTAATAACATCAGCAAATATATGAGCACATACAAGTATACGTATGCCTGTATCTGTGTACATTTGCATGTATGTATGTAGTCGTAAACAAGTGTGAACAAGCGCCATTTTAACCTAATGTTTTGTAAACACTTGCTGTTTTGTCGCACTTTATTAGTGTGCAAATGGCAATTCTGTGCAATGGCGTCGCTGAAAGGACCTCATTAATGCTGAAGAGTAGGAGATCTGCTGAATAAATAGCTGTACTTAGGCTCACACAAAGCGTTTAAGAGTTCCGCATTTTTACAATTAATTTTGTGCCAAATCCAGTAGTTTAATAATGTAAATGAAACAGAACTTTTTTACACAGACAAGGTACAAAAAGGGATATTAAGACAACCGAAAAACGCACTAAAAAAGTAATTAAATTAAATTAATTGAAATTAGAAACTTTAACGACTTCGAAAAAGTAACTGTCATTGTTAATAAATTTACAAAAAAAATATTATAATTATATAAAATAATTAAAAACTTGCCGTTTGCAACACAATCATTGAGCAATTAGGATTCCACTTCAATTTATTATTGTTAAGTACTTCTCTGAATCCAGTATGAGGACATAAAGGGAATTTATGTCTTTCCTGTGTGAAACTTTTGCATCGACCAGCAAATGAAAACCCACAATAAAATTCAATTTAATTATTGTATTCTCATTTTATAAAATAAATTTATATTTACTATATTTGCTAAGCTCATAAAATATGTGCACCGAAATTTTGCAAGCCAGCAAAGCAAGTTTTGTACTTTAAAAAAAAAGATACAAATAGTGGAAAGCGATGCACAAAACATCCTTCACACAGATACAAACACATACCGAGCTGCATTGTTCATTGTGTTTGGAGAAATTCTACTAAAGATAAATGAAATTGCAGCCAAAAATTGCGCACAAAATGCTTTTTGACAAAATTATTTAACCAAAGCAAATTACAGCCAAACAACAACAATGAGAATAGACAACAGCACAAAAAAGTTACGGAATGTTACTCCCACATAATTTTACAAACTCAAATATGAAAATTATATAGCAAAACTTTCTTCTTCATTGTTGGCAACAACAGCACCATCAGTAGCAGCAGGAGCAGCAGCAGCAGCGGCAGCAGCAAAAATAAAAAAATAAATATATATCCATATATATACAAGTATAAATAACGTAGTCGAAATGGGGGAGAGAAAGCATTTTAAATGCTTCAACTACATATTTGGGGAGCCACCAACTTATGTAAAATCACTTTTTAGACCCCCTCCCCTTCCCTTGCCCCTACCCCAAGACCCCAAGCCATTCGCTTTGTACGAAATTCTCAGCTTTGTGCATAACTGCTTTTGTTGTAAATTGCTCGGGCACAGTTGTAAATCACAGCAACAGACTAAATAAATAAAGAGTAGTAGATATGGCAGTAGATACGGCAGTAGATAATAAATTGAATGCAAAAACTCTTAAAACCCTAAGCAGTCAAAAACAGTTGCAGAAGGCGGGGTGCGAAAAGTGCTGTTACGCATCATGCAACGTAACAAAAACGCATTCAAGTGTCGCCCACTTTCAATTTCAATTCCGAGTTGATTTAATGCGAAAATTAAATTTTTAATGAAATGAAGCGGAAATCTAAAATTCCGAATCCTTTTGTTGAATGTTTTAACCAAGGACTTTTCGACAACAATTGATTTAGCGGATATAAATGAATTTGGATGACTGCAAAAAAAGCAAAATATGTAAAATATGTATTTTAATATTCAGTTAAAAACGAATATTCAAAATTATGAAAAAAAATAATAAAATGATCAATAAATGATGTGTATAATAACTAAAATTAATTTGTATAATATATATTATATTATTTGCAAATCCATCTTTCATAGCAGACAGAGTACATAAAATTAAAAATTTTAAAGGAAATAAGTATTCTGTAATCCTTATTTTAGTTGATTGTTTATAAGGCAAGTGTCTAAAAAGTAAGATTTCAACAATATATTGTATAACTTTTTTGTACTTTCCACTTTTGTTAATACCTAATCACCTCAGGGCGTGAATAATTCACTCTCTGCTCTTTAAAAAATAAAATGTCCATTCATATATATCAGCTAAACATAAGTAAACCAAAAACAATTAGCCTTCTTTGACTCTTAATAAAATTACGAAGTAGCAATAAGAAACATTACCTTTGTAATGTTCAATCGCCAGGGCTATGCGATTGAAATAATACCAACTACGGGTGACTACGAATGGCCAAAGAAGTAATTTTCCATCTCAAGTAATGGTATCGGCAGCTGTGACCACCGATGAACGCTCTTCAATCATATTTATCGAGCCTGGTGTCAAAGTCAAACTAATTTATTGTCGGGAGAAAGTTTCACAAGTTGTTTTAGAGTCGTGGGCACGCAAATATTTTAGTCGTAGACTATGGACGTTCCAACAAGACGCTGCAACGTCTCATAAAGGTTGTGCGAATCCAGAATGGTTCCACACATCATTTTGTCCACACAATGGCTTTTAAATTAGCCAGATGCAAATCCAATCCACTATTCCATCTAGGACATTTTGGAGAGCAAGTAAGGCCTGAAAAATATGCCAGTACAGATGTGCTGAAGAAAGCCGTTGTTCACATTCGTAAAGTATGCAACTCATTTTTTAAATATTTGAAGACCATAGTCAAGGCAAAAAGTGGCTACATCGAGCTATAGTGAATGAATTCTAAAGATTTGATTATTTTCACAATTTTTTTTAATTTGAATCAATAAAAAATAATTTCACACAAAATAGATATGGTCACTTAAATAGGTAACACTTCAATCGCCTATACAGGCGATTTTGGGTTAATCCAAAGGTAACACTTTGGATTAACCCTGTATATATTATTTATAAATATATAATCACTTATAAATTGATGAATTGGACATTAACTCCTAACTCCTATTAACTTCTCCTTTAACTCCTAGGAAGAGCATCGGGCCGTAACAAATAACTTCCACTCGGTACGATTGGTGGCCGAATTGGACATAATACCATTGAAAATATTTAGTAATGATGGCAATAGTTGTGTTGTCTTAAAACTATGTTTACTTTCAATATAAATTCCATGAAATGTGATCAGAACCGTCTTCAAATTGTTTTTCGTATTTTTTTTATATAATTTGCTGATTTTATAAGCATGTATCTATATTGATGTATTATTATAATATGTATATATTTTAATTTGTTTACATGTATACAAAATATGTTATGCAGATTTCTAGTATGTGATTCTAGTATGTGAATTTCTATAAATTCTATACACAAAATACTCTTATTTTGAAACTGTAATGAGTGTACCCAAATTGTCCATTGGAACCGATTATTCTGTTTTCAATTGTAAATCGTTTTGTTGTAATTTGTAGTGACACCAAACGTAGTTTAGCAGATATTTTTTAAATGTCTTTGGTTTACTAGTTATTTTCGGTTTACTAATTCCAGTTCATGTAAGTAATTTCATTGAATCACAGCGCTGCGCTCTTAATTTATAGTTTAAGTTTCAATTTTGAGTACAACTTAATATTACAATTTTCGAAATATAACCGGGTTTACTTAATTACATGATTATCCTTTAACACACTTCTGAGGGTAATAATGATACCACTTAAAGGACACAATGAAGTATATAATAGAGACATTTGTAAGTAAGTTTAGTTGACGTTATGTGCATATTTTAAGTGCTTCTTCCCCTTCCCTTATTTCAGTTTATTTCTAAACTTTTGAAATAACTTTAAAGAAGAAAAAAAAAAAAGGAGAAGAATGAACCCAACGCAATGTTTAACTGTCAAAAATTACCAACTTTCTTCTCGTGCGCATTTAAATCATATTTAAACGTCTTAAAATGCTTTTAAAATTTATACGTGACTTTCCCTAATTTGTTAACCCCTCATAACTCTTCGAGAATTTTTTCCATGCTATTTTAAGGTTTTACGATTTTCTTTTGTTTTTTGTTTTAGAATATAAAATTTTTTTTTTTTTTGAGAACTTTTCTGTATTTTATATTTTTACCACATTGCCAACTGTAAAAGAGCAGAGAATGTCCCGCGTTAATAAAATTATTATGTCATAAATCACATTACGCACGTAATTCGCACAAAATTTACGCACACAACTTCAAGTTAGACAAGCCAGAAAGCAATTTTTTTTTTTGGAAAAATGGAATAAAAATTTTCCTTTTGCATTTTCAAAGAAATTTGTTGTGATCTTCTGCCTTTCGCAAATCCTAACCAAGGCAAGTGCGCCGCCAAGGCTACCCACCAAACAAGGCATCATACGCTGCATGCGAAGAAAAGAAGTTAAAATTAAAGGCAAAAAATGGCAGACAACATTTAAAACAGTAGCGGAAAAAGGGTTGCCACCGCGTGGCACTTCTGCACCACCGCCTGATGCCTGAAACACTCGCCATGAGTGTGCTGGTTCTGGTCTGGTCTATGCACGTAAACTTTTTGTGGTACGCGTACCACAATGTTAACGTAAACACCATAATTAGCTGAAGCCGAGCATTGTCCGACGGAAGTTTCAACAAAGGATATGCTGCGTACGCAAAGGCATAACCTCAATTTTTTGTTCCCAACATTTCCAATGGAAAACATAAATTTTTAAACATAAATTTTGCAATTTCTTTAGAAACCGGAAGACAAAGCTGTATAGAATGTCAGTGAAAAGTCTAAAGTCCCGGCGATAAGGGTAAGGAAGCGTT